TTCTTTACACAAGTTTCTGAATGCCGTTCGTATGTTGGCCAGCCTGGCATATGCCGCTGATGTTATCCGCTTGATATGTGCTGCAGGAGACAGGTCTGGCGTGATATCAACCCCCAAGTCTTTTTCCTTCTCTGACTCCTGAAGAATTTCCTCTCCCAGATGATACCTTGTATCTGGCCTCCTGCTCCCTACACCTATCTTCATTACATTACATTTGGTTGGGTTAAACTCTAACAACCATTTGTTCGACCATTCCTTCAGCTTGTCTAGGTCTTCTTGAAGCCTCAAACAGTCCTCTTCTGTTTTAATCCTTCTCATAATTTTAGCATCGTCCGCAAACATTGAGAGAAATGAATCGATACCCTCCGGGAGATCATTTACATATATCAGAAACAAGATAGGACCGAGTACAGAGCCCTGTGGGACTCCACTGGTGACTTCACGCCAATCGGAGGTCTCACCCCTCACCGTAACTCTCTGCTTCCTATTGCTTAGATACTCCCTTATCCACTGGAGCACCTTACCAGCTACACCTGCCTGTCTCTCCAGCTTATGTACCTTATGTTGTGTGTGTGTGTGTGTGTGTGTGTGTGTGTGTGTGTGTGTATACTCACCTATTTGCGCTTGCGGGGGTTGAGCTCTGGCTCTTTGGCCCCGCCTCTCAACTGTCAATCAACTGGTGTACAGATTCCTGAGCCTACTGGGCTCTATCATATCTACATTTGAAACTGTGTATGGAGTCAGCCTCCACCACATCACTGCCTAATGCATTCCACCTGTTAACTACTCTAACAATTAAAAAGTGCCTTCTAACGTCCCTGTGGCTCATGTGGGTACTCAGTTTCCACCTGTGTCCCTTTGTTCGCGTACCACCAGTGTTGAATAGTTTATCCTTGTCTATCCTGTCAATTCCCCTGAAAATTTTGTAGGAAGTGATCATGTCTTCCCTCACTGTTCTGTCTTCCAGTGTCGTAAGGTGCATTTCCCGCAGCCTTTCCTCGTAACTCATGCCTCTTAGTTCTGGGACTAGTCTAGTGGCATACCTCTGAACTTTTTCCAGCTTCGTCTTGTGCTTGACAAGGTTCGGGCTCCATGCTGGGGCCGCATACTCCAGGATTGGTCGTACGTATATGGTACACAAGATTACAAGATTCTGAACGATTCCTTACAGAGGTTCCTGAAAGCTGTTCTGATGTTAGCCAGCCTCGCATATGCCTCGCATCAGACGTAATTCTTTTTATATGGGCTTCAGGAGACAGGTTTGGTGTGATATCAATTCCTAGATCTTTCTCTCTTTCCGTTTCATTAAGTACTTCATCTATTCTGTATCTGGCCTCATGTTTCCACCGCCTAGTTTCATTACTTTGCATTTACTCGGGTTAAACTTTAGCAGCCATTTGTTGGACCATTCATTCAGTCTGTCTAGGTCATCTTGTAGCCTCCTACTATCATCCTCAGTTTCAATCCTCCTCAAAATTTTTCCATCATCGGCAAACATTGAGAGAAACAATTCTATACCCTCTGGGAGATCATTTACATACATCAGAAACAGAATTGGTCCAAGGACTGACCCCTGCGGGACTCCACTAGTGACATCACGCCAATCCGAGACCTCACCCCTCACAGTGACTCGTTGTCTTCTGTTGCTTAGGTACTCCCTTATCCAATGGAGTACCTTCCCTTTCACTCCAGCCTGCATCTCCAGCTTTTTCACTAGCCTCTTGTGTGGTACTGTATCAAAGGCTTTCTGACAATCCAAAAATATGCAGCCTGCCCACCCCTCTCTTTGTTGCCTGGTCGTAGAATTCAATTAGCCCTGTGAGGCAGGACTTGCCATCCCTGAACCCATGTTGATGCTGTTACAAAGTTCTTTCGCTCCAGATGTTCCACTAGCTTTCTTCGCACAATCTTCTCCATCAGCTTGCATGGTATGCAGCTTACGGACACTGGCCTGTAGTTCAGTGCCTCCTGTCTATCCCCTTTTTTGTATATCGGGACTACATTAGCTGCCTTCCAAATTTCTGGCAGTTTCCCTGTTGCCAGTGATTTGTTATACACTATGGAGAATGGCAGGCACAGTTCTTCTGCTCCTTCCTTTAGTATCCAAGGGGAGATTCCATCTGGGCCTATAGCCTTTGTCACAGCCAACTCTAGTAAACACTTCTTTACTTCCCCACTGGTAATCTCAAACTCTTCCAGTGGTTCCTGGTTAGCTATTCCCTCTCTTATCTCTGGAATCTCTCCTTGCTCTAAGGTGAAGACCTTATAAAATTTCTTATTCAGTTTCTCACACACTTCCTTGTCGTTTGTAGTGAATCCTTCTGCCCCACTATCCTTATATTCATTACCTGTTCCTTTACTGTTGTTTTTCTCCTGATGTGGCTGTGCAGCAATTTAGGTTGAGTCTTTGCCTTGCTTGCGATGTCATTTTCGTATTGTCTTTCTGCCTCTTTTCTCATCCTGACATATTCATTCCTGGCACTCTGATATCTTTCTCTGCTGTACTCACCTAGTTGTACTCACCTAGTTGTGTTTGCAGGGGTTGAGCTCTGGCTCTTTGGTCCCGCCTCTCAACCGTCAATCAACAGGTGTACAGATTCCTGAGCCTATTGGGCTCTGTGTGAGTGTGTATGAGTGTGTGTAAAGAATAACTGAACCATTCATTATCTTAGTATTCCCACACGCCTGGCCCCAAGAAGAGTAGTGCGAGTAGTAGTAGTAGTAGTAGTAGTAGTAGTAGTAGTAGTAGTAGTAGTAGTAGTACGAGTAGTAGTAGTTTGAGGATCAGCAACAACAAGGGTATTGCAAATTGGGTTGAGTTGTCCGGTGCCATATTTGGAGGATTGACCCTTCACACAATACGACCCTCGGCCTCCCCCCCTCAAGGAAGATGGCACACACACGCGTGTGTGTGTGTGTGTGTGTGTGTGTGTGTGTGTGTGTTGAAGGTGAGGTGGGGGGGGGGGGGAGGGGAGCCAGGTCACGCCCTCTCCTCGCTAGGTTAAGAGCCATTACCGGTGTCTTGGCCCCGAGCACCAGTCTGACTCTTACTCAAGTGACTCACCATTTGCAACTTTGTTTCTTTCCCTCCTCCTCCACCTGCCCCCCCCCCCTTTCCACTTTGTTGATCCCCCCTCTTTCTTCCTTGCTCCTTTCTCGTCTTCATTTTTTTTGTTTAGGTTTATTGCTCAATTTTTTTTCGTATTTAGTTGAAGTTACAGAAATATCCGCAACAGTTTATTCCAAAATGCTTTCGTTTTTCCTTCGTCTCTTCCTTCGTCTCTTTCTATTCCCCCTTTTTTTTATTTTTATGTCTTCCTCCTCCACGTTCATCTTCCCTCTTCTCTCCCTCTTCGCTCCCTCTTCG